TACAGTCACATATTGGTGAAGTTCTTGAGATTAAAGTAGTAGTGGGAGTCCAGCACCAGAGACCTATTCAGTTCATGGCATTTCCATAGACACAAACTTGTAAATTATGGTTTACTCCTTTGGTGTTACGTTTTCCAGATAGTAAAAGAAGTGTATTTACTTATTTCATGAGATTCCTTATGAGGTGTTATTCATTGTTTCTCAGCTATTTTGGAATACTTGGATAGCAAGTGTAGCAATAAAAATAAATAAATTAAAAACAAACAAACAAACAAAACCCCCCAACACCCAAAAGCCAGAAATCATTTCCTTTAACAAGAGGAGCATTTTGGACAAATAGCTTCCCTAGCCATGCTTAAAGCTCCTTCTCTGTCTTTTTAGAAGTGCCATCTGTTCCACAATGATTTTGTAGGTATGAGGAGCCTTGCAGAGACAAAAATCTGAGCAGCAGTTAAGATGCTATAGTATGCAGAGCAATATTGGCTAAAACTGGAAAGGCAAAGCTGATCCTGCCTGGGGGAATGTCAGCCCCCCCAAATCAGGAATACCTCCATTGGGGCTTATGAATAGACCATGCAATTGTTTGTTTTCTGCGGTTTTTTTTCCTCATTATTTTTGTTCACTCTCACACTGTATTATACCTGTGTATATTTATCAGCAAGTAACCAGCTTGCTTTGTCATTGTGACATCTGCTGCCCTAATGGTCTCTTTTAATGTGCCTCCTTTGATGGTATTTGCCTTTTTTTAAGCTTCGTTGATACTTTGACAATTATCCTTTTCACTGGTATTACCACTTCTGAAGAAACCTGTGTAACAGGGTCAGCAGAAAAGGAGCTAGGATGATAATGTGAATGTCTGCTATGTTTCTATTTTCTCTATTTCTTTTTTTTTTTCATATGGGAAATTTATATTGGGATCTGTTTCCATCTTCCTTGGCAATATATTTTTTTGACAAGTTTGGTATTTAATTAATATGTTCATACATTACAATAGCTGGGCAGTTCTGCACCCTTCGTACATGACTTATTGCATGTAAATACAATACAAATTCACCTTTCTTACATCACATCCGTCTTGGCACACTAATGAATCAAGGTTTTCCCCTGTGAGCATTTTTGTACAACTTAACAACAAATTGTAAACTAGAAGTTAGTCGTGTAACAACAGTGTCACTTTCTTGGCTTCATTAGGTCAGCTGTATGCAAAATGAGGGATTTCAGGCTTCCCTGTACTCTCAACTCTCTCAACAACTGAAGAAAGTAGACTATTTTGTAAAGCAAATTTAATCAGATTGACTGTGATACTATTATCGGGTGCTAGGGGAGGAAGGACTCTGGGGAAGAGCATATATAATGGAATCTCTTTAAATGTAGACTTTAAACTTTTCAAAACATCTGAAATTCTTCTAGTGAAGATGATCTCTCTATAGCGCATTAAAACCCTTTAATCATAGGTTAATTTTTCTTAATTAACTTCTGCAGATTACTTAGTTTTCTGAGGAGCCTACAGTGGAAAAATTACTTTTTTTAAAGACACAATTTGGCAGAGAGGTTCATGTTAGGACAGTGTTTCTATATTAAAAAAAAAGAAAGTAACAGCACAAACCAGGTGGGAATTTGTTGAAAATGTTCAACTGTATTACCTGCATTGTAGTGCAAGTCTTATCCGCTCTTCACCTTGAGAGGTCTGAGGAATTCAGAATTCAGCAGTTTAACAGGTCTGTAAGAAAGAAAAGGTATAAATATCCTTTTATATTTCAAACTGTACTTGTAATTTTAATAAATCAGGAAATCAAAGTAGGTTTACATGAAATGTTTAAGACCTGATTAAAATGGTGCTTGCACTTGGAGTTACTTTAGCTGGGTAATGCTGTGAAGATCAAATATTAGTCTGTAAACTTGTAGCATATGAGTTGTTGTATATTAGTGTAACAAGGGCATGCAGTTGTCTTTTTTTTTTTTCCTTGCCAGCTGAGGTGTTGATCCCATTTTCTATAACCATTTTTTGGGGTTAACTTGCCTGTCCAAATCCTTTGTCTGGCATGTCATATACGGATATTTCATTATTGAAAAATATGCTTGGACAGATTAATAGAAACAGCAGCTCTTTGTAGTCTAGAAACCAAAGTTAGTCATTACGGGAAAAAAAAATATCTAGGAAGTTGAGATGCATACTGCAGAATTGTTGATCACATGGAAGAAAAAGTCATCTGAAGTTGGCTTTGAACAAATTAACTTTTTAGCTAGCCATTTTCTAATCCATTGATATTTCAGATTCTGGTGTGGATTTAAATCTAGACGACTTGCAAATTATGTCATTATGAAGAGCAGATAACTCTTCTTTAGTTTTATCTCTACCCCTTATAATGCCCTCCTCTATGTGTTTGTATCCTTTCCTAGAAGAAATTCTTCATTTTGTCAGAGTAACAAAGCAATATTTATATCATTGCATCTGATTGCATAGACTAGAGCATGCCTTTGATTATGCAGTTTGCTTTCTCAGCCTGCATTTTTTAATGTTTCTGAGGGAATGAGGTGTTCTCATCTGTTCCAAAGAAGGAAATTGTTTTTATTCTCATTTGCTGAATATACTCAATGTTTAAAAGAAATCTGAAACAGGCTAGCTTTACCTGTAAGGAGTTCAGATTTAGGATTCAAAGCATCTGAAAATGTGTCATTAGCATGTTAAAAATCCTACACCTTTTTCCTCTTGTCCTGGACTCGTCTCTACTGGCTCATGTGCCAAGACATGAGCTTTCTTCATATTCTCATGCTGCTTGCCAGAGAGCTGCAGTAGTATTAATATCATTAGAGAACATGATGTTCAGCTGAAATCTCTCAACAGTGCCAACTGCCTGAACATGGCTTTGTTGCCAGAATCAGTAACTAATCTTTTTGTCTTGGAATTTGTAAACTGGTTATGTGAATTTCATTCGTGTCTGAGAGGTGTGGAATTTTATTCTGTCAGGGTAAAAAAAGCTTAACAATGGCGTGTTAGATGTCTTTGCCAATGATCATGGTTTGGATACCAGTTACAGAAATGCTGTTTCTTTAATGCTGGAGATGGGGAAAAGTCAACTCTTCAAATCATTTATCAACAATTTAAATTGTGTTTGCTGTGGCTTGTGGAACATCAAATGGTTTGGTCTGTAGCACAGGAGGAGAAACATTCACATTGGTGTAATCAATAGGGGCTCTTGAAGTGGAAACAGCCTCTTGCTGGATACAAACCAGAAGGAGCTGTTCCCACTGAGCGGTTTTGGTTTGGGAATTTGCTAAGCTCTGGTGAAACAGCTGAGCAGCTTTGCTAACTTAGAACCAAAGATGTGGTAGGAAGGGAGTTAAAGGCTTTAGGGCTAAAGAGTATGGTTGGTTTCAGTACAGATATTTCTGTGGAAATAGTGATGCAAAGTTGAAAGGCTGTAGAGTCTTTGTAAATTCAAAATAAAAGTCTGTCTTTATAAACATTTAGCTGTTCTAAATGATCCCTGTCCTTTATTGAGCATTGTTCTTTAGGGCAGAATATTTTCTAGAATCTTAACTGTGACTGTAGTTTGTTTGTTTGTTTGTTATTGGAGTTTTGGGGTTTTTTTTCCCAGAAAATAAGATTATTTTTTTTTCCCTGTAAGAATAAAGCTGTTTTCGTATTATAATGTATTTTAGGACATATAATTCAAACATTGTTTTAAATCACATACGTAGGAAAGAAATGAGCAAAAATATTATTTTGGTAAAACAAAACGTGAGCAAGAATGACTTTTATTGGGCATCTTTTTGCCGCATAATGGATGAAGAATAGCTGAATGTTTCTAATCAACTCTACTACTTAGAACTAAAGCTTCCCAGATTGCGAAGCAATTATGCTTTGTCTCTATGCATGCCTAGAAATAGATTTGGTGTTTATTCTTTTGGTTGTTAATGCATCCTTTCATAGTCAAACCCTAAGCCTGACACTGATGGAACAAGATGTAGTCCATTGTTTTTGATTCTGGCTCACCCATGTTAACGATTGTTGTGGAAATGACACCAATCAGAATTAGTTTCTGTGGGCATTTTCTCTGTCCCGGAGTGACTTATGCTCATTGCTGAGAACCTTCAGACTTTGACTGTAACACAGATAGAAGTGCAGTCTAATACTTAGCCCATTAAGCCGGAACATATTTGTTTTCTCTGAAGATTTTGCAAAGGAAATACTTCCCACTGCTGTGGTTGCTCTGTGTGGCTGTCCTGTTGCTCAGTGCCAATGTGGTGTACATGTATCTCACAGATGACATGCAAGGCTTGTGTTATGCAGGAGGAGCATGGCAGTTCTCAGTAAGAAACAGACATAATACTAGATGTCTTTTTTTTTTTTTTTCTTCCATGTGATGACCTGTATTGCAGCAGAAATGTGCCTATTATCCTGTTTACCAAACCTACACTAAAGCAGGTCATCATTTCCTTCCCTCTTCCAGTTAGCAGTACAATTTGGGGATTCCCTAACTATAATGAAAGCTTTAATGACTGAAAAGCCTGAAGGTCTTCAGTACTACAGATTGTTCACCAGCAACTGATGATTCTATATAGTAACAGCATAGAAGATCTCATAGTTGGAAAGTATGATAGTGCTTTCAGGGAGCTCATTTTATATGTTTTGGGGGGAAGAATGTTGGAGAGATGTGTGGCAGGGGTGAGGGGGATGAGGTTAAAAACACAGATGACCAGTCAGTCCTTGTCAGCTGAGTTTCAGTAACTTGGTAAGCTGCAATAACTGGAGTACTTAGGAGCATCGAAACATAGCTTATCTCATAGATTTCTGATCACGTTTTCATCACCTAAGCTGACATCCCTCACTGCACATAATAACTTGTTTCTTTAGTGTGTAGTTGTTCTCTATCCCAAAGTGTGGGTTTTTTCTGTTACAGACAGGAAGAAGCTTCATACTGCTCCACTAGGGCAAGTCTTCCGCCTGCGCCCCTTCCATGTTCTGATTGCTACAGGTGGGGGATATGCAGGATACAGAAAATATGAAGATTACAAGTTGGAACAGCTGGAGAAGAGGGGCATAGAGGTGCCTGTGAAGCTTGCAAGTGAGTGGGAGGTAAGAAACTTGGGGCAGTTTTGCTTCTGGCACATTTGAGGCAAAGCTCCTTTGCTTTCATTCCAACAAAGGAATGTTTAATTTGTCCTCTACTGCCAATGCATTTTTGACAAATCATGGAACTAAAGTTTCTGTCACTTAAGTAACTATAATTTTGTCTGAAGTCAATGTAATGATACATTAGGAACTGCTGGCGTCTCTGCCATCTTTTAGTACGGCTGACACTATATTTTTAAATACTTGTCAAATCAGAGGTAGAGGGGATAGTTAATCAAGTGATTGTATTACGTATTTTGAATAAAAAAATGTTTGGTAGGCAATGAATCATTCAGATGGAAGTCATGTAGTCCACCCTCCTGCTTAAAGCAGGGCCAACGCTGAATTTGGACCAGGTTACTCAGGGCTTTGTCCACTTGGGTCTTAAAAATTTCCAAGGACAAAGATTCCACAGTGTCCCTGGGCAGCCTGTTCCAATGTTTAATTACCTTCGTAGTGAAAAATATTTTCCTTATATCCAGTTAGAACTGTCGCTGTTTCAATTGATGGCTGTTACCTCTCCATCTCCCTCAGTAAAGAGCCTGATTCCATCTTCTCAGTAACCTCTTCTTGGAAGTTGGAAGGCTGTTGTTAGGTCCCTCCTAAGTCTTCTCCGGGCTAAACAAGCTCAATACCCTTAGCCCATTCTCAAAGGCCATGTGCTGCAACCCTTTGACCATGCTGCTGGCCCTTCACTGCACGTGCTCAAGTCTATCAACATCTTTTCTGATCCTAAGAAAACTGGACACAGTATTCCAGATCCGGTCTCACATGCACAAAGTAAAATGGAATGACCTTCCCTTGGCTTGTGCTCCTCTATGCTGTTGGCCTTCAGCACTGCCAAGGCATGATGCAGACTCATCTTCAACCTACTGTCCACTTGCACTCCTGAGAGAGCATAAAGCATGCATCTGCAGTAATTGATGGAGCTGTAGCTCTGCTTAGCGCAATGCATTTTCTCTTTTCCCCACCTTGCGTTGCAAGGTAGCAAATTAAGCACATTATGCAATTTACAGAGTTAAATACAGAAATCAAAATAGGCAGGACTAAAATGACATATCATAAAACTCAAAAAACATTCAGTGCTGAGTTGTTGGGGTTTTTTTGTCCTAGCAGTTCTAGCTACGGGTACAGCTTGTGCAGTAGTTGTAGGGTTTATCTTCTCACTAGCTGCTCAGTCTGTGCTACTGTCGGCACTTCAGTTACTTCCTCTATGCCTTCATGCTTTACATACTTTACAAGGAAGCTGAGACGGAATTAATACCTAGTTAATAAAAATTTACGAGTTTTCTTTGTGAATATATAGCAAGACCTTTTTTTTGTAGGTAACACCTAGGTCTGTAATGGCTCTTGGTGATCCTGAGGGATTTTTGCCTTTTCCTTCTGGATTCCAAGGAGTTCAGAAATTATTGTAGAATTGCAGTAGGTATATCGGATTCATAGGTCAAATATTCATTGCAGCATTGAAGTAAGAAATGCTTCATAATTTCCTGTAACTGCTGTATCTCCTTTGAAATACTAAGTATATTGTACAACTCCATGTTAGACAGTTTAAAGTATATGTGGTATTCTTCCAAACAGCCAGGTGAGTGCCTGCTTCAGTGCCATTTCTGAAGGCAAGGAGTTAAAAATTCTAGGATTGTAGGATTGTGTAGGAGATGCTTCAGTCTGACCTTTAGCATCCCATTTCTTTGCATTCCTGAGCACACTGCCAGTTTGTGAGTGGTTTGGCCACATGCCTGTGGGGGACTAGGCTGGAATCCCTAAATTCATTTTCACTAGTGACCCAAATCAGATATGATCCAGACAGTCCAGATGCTAACAGTTTAGGCAGTGATAGCTCCCGAGGAATTTGTCTGTAAATCTGTCTTCTGTATATTCTTTTCCTGCTGAAGCTTATTTCAAACAGGTTTTATGTTTCGATTAAAAAAGAACTGGTAAGTGTTCATGGAGTATTTATTTTAAAAGGTGATGTCAGTTCAGTTTTGATACTCGAAAACAAATGGATTTTTTGTTACTGTTTGTACTTTTAGGTATGAAATTGGGTAATTCCCTTATTAAATTTGCTTTCTTTCATCATACTGATATGCTGGTTTGTTATTATTTGATGGCTATTTGGTGAAGGTCCGAGTATTGCTTTTGATGAAACAGCTCTAAAGGATTTGTTTTTTGCAGCGGGGAATCGCACAAAGTATTTAAAACTGATAAGCAGGGCTCCAAATGCAGCAGATACCAGTAGGAGACACTAACAAGGTTTCCTAGTCCTTCTGATGTGCTTAAGTTCTGTTGAATGCTTCTGTGGGAGGGAAAGGAAGCTTGACAGTTACAAGGAAAAAGAGAAACTGTGTTCAGACGTTGCAAGAAATATTCCAAACAATGAAGGATTCAAGAAAAATAAGAGCTGCGTTGTTCCTTTTTATTGGAAAGCAGTGTCTTTCTTGCTGACCTATCATTTTCCATTATTCTGTTTTTTGCATCCCTGGAAGCACTCTTAGGAGTGTGGAAAAGAGGGGTTTCGGCTTGTTTTTTAGAGCAGAATAAGCCTTTGCCTAGGCAAAAAAGAGACCAAGTGCGATTGAACAGGCTTTGAAAGGGTAATATAGAACAGGAAACTGCTGCACGTCCCCTCCCTGCAGAGCCTGCTGCTATGAAGTTCTGATTCCACGGTACCAACCTCGTGTTTATGTGCGAACACACACCATCTTCCACCTGACAGCTTTGTGTGTAAGGCAGATTCCCCTGCTTCTGAGCGGAAGACAGAGGTATGAAATAGGTAATCATCATCATGTTATGCAAGCAGGGAATCTCTCTCTGTTCCAGAGGTACATATCGGTATCGTCATAGAAGTGTGCATAGTTTTTGATTGAATTAAGAAGAGTATACTCCTATATGGTTTTGCTTTGTTCAAGCTTCATAAAAGAATGGGGGGAAAAAAATGAATCTGGTTGAAGTCGAGTGTCCCTTAAGTTTTTCCACAGGAAAAGACAAAACTATTGTTTCTTTAGCATAGATCTTTTCTTCCTGTAATTTTCTTAGAGACATTATGTAGCTAAGAGCTTGAGCTGATTAACGCCTTAGTGTGTCTCCTACTGTGAATACCAGTGAGGATCAGCTTTCATTTAATTAGATGAGGTAAAGCAGAGGGCTTGGAGGGAGATGGGTAGATATTTATCAGATGGATGGAAGCTTATTGTTTCAAATCCTTGCTGTCACAGAACATTTCCTGATTGGGATCTCCATGCATAGCACGCCATTCATATGCTGACTAGAGGCAATTTGCCTCCTCTCACCTGGGCACCAGGCAGTGTTGATACAGTACCAGAGTTACTATGGGCAACCTTGGCCAAAGAGTGAGTTCGGATGAACAGAGTGGCCAGATGAACAAGAGTTTTCCTCTAGAGAGAGGAACTTCTCATAGCTGTCCTTTGCTTCCATAGTTTGTTCTGGTTTGTGTAAGCAAAAAGCAGTGTTTGTTGGAGTGACGTGCACCAGGTAAAACACCGTGAACCATTAAAGGGAAGTGAGCTGTAGTGACATCTGATAATACAGATGACAGATTAATACACAGTTCTGTTCTGTTCGAACCTCAGCTTATCGTCATGGGCCACAGTTTTTAAAAACAGCTTAATACAGTGGGGAAGTGCTTGAGTATAGGTTTAGGATCTTGATTCTCAGAGGTAGGAACAACAGTCTTTCCTATTGATATTAAAAACTGCTCATATTTATGGAACAGAGGATACTGGATACTATTTTGGCAGTACAATACAGAAGTTGCTTTCCTTGGCCCAGAGGAGACAGACATTTAGTATTATGGTAAGAGGTGTGCATCAAGTTCAGGAAAGAGCTAATAATGGAAAAAATCTCTGATTATTTTTTTTAATCCAACTTTGGAAGAATGAAACAATCTCTGGTTGCTTGGTCTCTTACTCGTCGTTCTTGCTCCCGTGTTCTGATGTTTGGAGTTTTATTTGAGCAAATACGCAATTATGAAAAAATTTCTTGTAGAGTGGCCCAATGCACGTGACAAAGATGGTCAGAAAATGTTAAAAGCGGTGAAATTTCAACAACATCAAAATACGTGAAGGGTGTGACAGTGTATAAATGTTTTTCTCAGCTGTCCTGGAAAGTTGAACTGAGTAGAATCAATTCTTTTTTTTTTTTTTTTTTTTTTTGTTTTAATCTGACCCGTGAGCTGGCTTTTTGACGATGTAAATCTGTTCTCGTACAACTTCCTGAGCATCTTGCTGGGATTATGGAGCAATTTATCCGAGCGTTTCGGGAGCACTTTATGAGGCTGCAGGGCACTTTCTTGCTTTGGCCGAAACTGTGTCTGTCGGTCAGATTTCAGAACATGGTTTAGTGAGCATGGCTGATGGTTGGACTCGATGATCTTGCCTAAATGATTCTGTGATTCTACGGTGTTAACGCCGCACCAGGACGCCCGTCACCGGGAAAGCGCAACCGCATCCGCGCCGGGGTCTCGCTCCCCGGCACAGTCGCTTTCTCCCGTTGCCTTGCCCGGTGGCTCCTTGGGAAGCCGAGCGGGGATGAAGGGACCTCCTTGTTCCCCGGGAGCGTCCGACCCCCAGCCCGGCAGGCCCTGGATGCCCCCCCCCGGCCAGACCCCTTCCTTCTCCCGCGGAGCCCCGGAGGTCCAGCCCCCTCCTCCCCGGGCCGAGCCACCGTTGTCGCCGTGTTCCGGTCCCCTCCCGTTTCTCTTCCTTTTCGGTTCTCCTGCCCTGGCTCCTCCTCCGAAGGGGGACGGGGCCCTACGGGAAGACAGAGCCGCTTTGGAGCCCCAGTGGCTGGGAGGGGAGCCCGGGGGGAGGGCCGCCTGCTCCGCGCCGCTTCCTTAAAGGCGAGCACCGGCACCGGCGAGCGGCGGGG